CCCGCTGAGCAGGGAGCCCGATGCGGGGCTCGATCCCAGGACCCTGGGATCATGACCTGAGCCGAAGGCAGACGCTTCACCAACTGAGCCACCCAGGCGCCGCCTCATGATTGTTCTTACTGTGACTTAACAGAGACATGTACATAGTGTCGGGAAGAGTAGTAGTAATAATGGGGATGACGTTAGTAACAGCCCCGGCTTTCTAAGCATCTGCTGGGCGTTGGGCGCCATGAAGACCCTGGAATGGGACGGAGAACAGCCGCTGGTGCCAGGGGTGCCTGGTCAGTAGGGGAAGCCAGGGGGCTGTTGGAGTCCTGGAAGAAGCACCCAGCCCTCCTGGGGGTCTAGGGGCAGGAGACTCATCCGTTCCTATATGCATCAAGACTTTCTTGAACACCCACTAAGGGCCAGGCCCTGCGTCAGGACAGAGAACATTCCAGATGGAAGTAGTGACCGAAGTGGCAAGTGACCATCTCCTTGCCTTGCTAGGGGACGCCTGCCTCTTTCTTTGTTTTGTTGAGCAGTTCCCACTCCTGTGGTCAGGCAGGCCGGGTGGAGGGGTGAGCTCGTGAGACTGGCTTCCGGGAGAGAAAGTCCGAGAAGTGGGGGAGGGGCTCATCCTGGACTCCAGTCAGATCCTGGCGCGGAGTAGGTGCACAGGAAATGGGCGTCCTCATCGTCCTGTGTGAATGAAGCTCGGCATTTTCGCTTTTAGTCTTAGCAGCGTTTCAAGAAAAAGCAGAGCTTGGTAGAGGGTTTGGCTCACCTCCAGCGTCGCAGGCAGGGGTGAGCTGCTTTGTAGCGCGGTCATAGGAGGGGGTCAGGAAAACAGGGAACTTTGCCCCAAAAACCTTCAAGGGAGGAGCCGTCCTTCCTGCCTTGGCGGGCCTGCTCCTTCTGCCCTCACTGAGGGGCCAGGAGGGGTGGAGGGTGGGAGCCGAAGTCCTACCGGCACGTGGGTTTAGGTCCTGCGTGGGCTGGGCCTCCGCTGTCCCCTTCAAGGTCCGAGGCACGGCGGGTCCGCTCGGATGCTGAAGTGCAGCCTTTCCCAAACTCTCAACGTGCCTCCGTGCCTTGAGTCACCTTGTCAGCAGGCTGACTCGGATTCCTAGGGGCAGCCTGAGATTTTTGCATTTCAGACACGCTTCCAGATGATGCCTAGCCGTGGACCACCCTTTGAGAAGGAGGGTGGCAGCCAGCCGGTGTCCCGCCTGCATTCACTCAGCACTCTGTCACATGCATGCTGACGAAGTGCTACCTTGTGAGGTGCTGCTCTGCCCCAGGCTTTCTCGGGGCACCAGAGCCTGCGTGGCCGGGCCCCGCCCGGAGAGGTGGGAAATGCCCCAAGGCCCTCATCTGCAGCAGGGAATCACTGGGGCGTGTCCTACCCTGTCTCCTGGGGTCCTCGGTGAGGTTAAGCCTCAGTGGCCGACAGCAGGAGCCTGCTCACCTACTCAGGAACACACTCGTTACTGGCTTTCTTCCCGATGTCTGGTCCTGGAGAACCCAGGTGCGGGTGTGGTCAGTTGCAATCCCTTCCGCCCCTCAGAGCAGAAGGGGAGTTCACTGGAAGCTTCTCAGGAGGCTCCAGGAACACACTGAGAAGCCAGACAAGGGCCAGGGGAGGCCCGGGGAAGCCCAGGTGCAGGAGATGAGTGGTAGGCCAGGGGTTGCCCACACCCCTGCTGCCCTGACCACGTGGCATTTGATCAAAGCCTCCCGTTCACTGGGCCTGTGTTACCACCAGACCGTGCTTCGACCTCCAGACCGGGGCGAGCAGGAGGACCTGCCCCACTTGGATATCCAGAGTGGGGGTGGGCACAGGCCTCCTCTGAGAGGACTCACAATAGGGGAGTTACTTACACAGGAAGCAGGGGTGGGATGCAGGGTTGACTCGCCCCCCAAATGTTCCCTGCAGCCATGTCCGGCATCAGGTATAGGAGTGTCAGTCTGGGGGGTAAAAAGGGACACTGTTGACAGAAATGCTGAGCAGTGACTGGCCTCGAAGAGACCGTCCCCTTGGGCCATCTGGCTTGGTGGCCCTGGAGGAGGAGGTGGCCTGAGCCCTTAACTGGAGGCACTCCTCACCCCAAGTTCCTTTAGGGCGATTCGCAGTTGAAGGGCTGGTCCCTCCCATTCAGTAGACAACGTGATTTTATTTTCAGTGGCCCTCATTGCTCTAGGGGACTCCTCTCTGGTCCCAGGGACTGAATGGACTAGCTGTACATTCTAAGAAACAGCCAGAAAATCACCCCTGGCATGAATGAGATCCAAGTCCTCGTGCCATTGAGTTGCCGTTACTCCTGCCTTCCTCCTGCCTCTCGCCGAGCAAGAAGGGCCTGAACCGACAGGAGCACAGGACCAGCGGCCGCCCCCACCCCGCTGGGAGGACAGGCAGGAGGAGGTGCGGGGGGGAAAGCGCCGGACGGGGCCCTGAATGAAGATCGCTGCTGGGGCTCCGTGAGGGTGATGTGTTGACCTTTGGGGAAAGGAAGAGGCCGTTGAACTGGGCCTGTCAGCTTGGAGGTCTCCTCTCAGGACTCCGGCTCTGTGTGTGACTTTTTATGTTTCAGTCAAGGCCTGTTTCATGGTAAGGAAAAGGGACCAGCTTCTCTACTTCCTGTGCTCGTTCGTACCTGGGAGCCTCCTGTGCTCGTTCATACCTGGGAGCTTCCTGTGCTCGTTCATACCTTGGAGCTAACTTGTTGGGTCCCACCTGTTTCTCAGGCCAGGCCACATAGATTGGTAGCCAGTCTGCACTCGTGTGCCCTTAGATGAGCCCATTTGAGGTCCTGTCTACCCTGCAGGCTGGTTAGGCGTGTCAGATGGTACCAACATGTCTGTCTAGACAGCAGGAGCTGAGGGGTGGGGTGGGTTTCTGGAAGGCCATATAGACCCAGGGAAATAGCAGATCTCTCTAGGAGAGGGCCTCACTCCTGGGGAGGGATGTTAGTGTGGCGTGGCCACACCTGCTTTTGCACCTGCTACTGGGAGACTCTGAGGTATTCGTTTTCCAGGTGTGGCCAGGACCACCTCACCTGCATCCCCATCCAGGAGCGTCTGGCCCAGGGCTGACCACACCTCTGCTTCTGAGGGTACTCCTGCCGCCCTGACCAATCCTCACCCTCCCTCTGTTCTAGAAGACAGACTGTAGAATGTCATCCTACAGTCTTGGAAGGTGGGATCCAGAAATTGCCATTTGTCATGAACCCCCATCCGGATGCTGCTTATGTAAAAAGTTTGAAAATTCTTGTTTTCATTCTTTTCGAGGTGCCTGCTAGAGGCAGAGACTCAACACTCCCTGGGTTCCCAGCAGACCTACAATAAGGAGTCTTCCTTCCCCAACACCTAGAGGAGAGCTTCTGTTGTATTTTCCCTTTGGAGACAGAAAGACTCCAGAGCTGAAGCTTGCTCGGGATAGATTTCAGGAGGATGCTGAGCCCAGAGGCGGGGCCTGGCCCAGGGCAGCTGGGGTGGGCTGTTGCCATTAAGACAGTTGAGTGAGGATTGTCCGACTCCCTGGCCTGAGGCTGGCCCCGGGGCACCTGGAAAGGCATTGAGTCGCGGGGCCAAAGCCCGTGTTAAAATGCCAGAACTAGTGCAAACACCCCTGATGTTGGACAGCCTGACACCTTTCCCCTTCCCTCCCCCATAGGTGTGCGCCTTGACCGAGTGCGTGGAGGCCGCCAGAAATACAAACGACGGCTGGACTCTGAGAGCAGCCCGTACCTGAGCTTACAGATTTCTCCACCCGCTAAGAAGCCATGTAAGTGCCAGGGTAGCCCGTGCCCCTCTGTCCGCATCCGTGCCTGGAACGTCTGGCATCCCTTGGGGGCAATGCCACCTTCCCACTGCTGGGTCTGGGACAGTGTGCATCTTGGGGAGGTGGCCTCAGTGCTTGGCTTGGTGTTGGGTGCTTCCGGCTTCATTTAGAAGGCCTTTCCATGTGGGATATGGCTCCAGGTGAAGCATGAACCTACGAAGGCATGAACCCCAGCATCCAGAACATGCCCCCCCTCACCTCCCACTCAAAGCAGGGTCCTCTCGAGAGAACTCACCAGCAGCTTCCCTTGGAAGGATATTTGTCAAGAGCCCAAATCACCACTGCCAGCAAGTTGTGGAGTCAGAGAGGGAGGGGAGATGACCTGCTGGGACTCCCCAGAACCCAAATTTTCTTCCTGAGCCATCCCAGGCTGCACCCTGGCCCCTTCCTCTTTTCCCCAGCATTTACATTCCTCCTCTGGTCATTGGCAGTGACCAAGATTGTCTCCTACCTGCTGGTGGCTGAGCCGGACAAGCTGTATGCCATGCCTCCCCCTGGCATGCCCGAGGGTGACATCAAGGCCCTGACCACTCTCTGTGACCTGGCAGACAGGGAGCTCGTGGTCATCATCGGCTGGGCCAAGCACATCCCAGGTGAGTCGAGTAGGGCCAGGAGGAGGGTGGAGCCAGGGATGCTCAGCCACTGTCCCCACGGCCATGGTCCTGACGCCTGGGAGCTGGGGACCCAGGAGCCATGTTTTCTTCTGGGCTCCTTTCCTCTCCTTGCGGGATTGGAGGTGAGCAGGTGTGGGAAGGTCCAGTAATGCTCTTGAACCTCTAGCAGCTCTTCAGAACCAGTTATCATTGTAGAGGGGTGATGATTGCATCTACGCTAGGTTAAGATTCAAAGAGCAAGTTTTTTTGACTCCTTGAAGGCCAAAGAAGGGTTTTCTCGTAGATCTTACTGGAAATGCACTAGGAAACAATGCAGGAGAGAGTTGAGTCTCTTGCTTCCTTGAGAGGCCAGTGGACTGGAGTGGTTGAGGACACGGGCTGGGGAATGGGACTGGGATTCAAGTTCTGGGTCTGCATCTTACTAGCGGTGTCGCCCTGAGCGGGCGAGCCCCCCGTGAATAGGGAATAGCAGCAGTGCTCCCTGCGTGGGCTTCGATGAGGAAGAGAACTGCAAGTATGAGTGTGCTGTACGGAGGATGCTAGTGTTTGTTGCAGACTCACTGTTGCCACATGCCTGATGGTGAGGGCGGCACAGAGAGTACGTGTAATAAATATGCTTCGGGTGATACGGACTTCATTCACCGCATGTGGCCCAAACCTGTCTTCCAGCTTCCTCCTTCTGGATAAACGGTGGAAACTGATTTTTAGTTTTATTTTTGTAGACACTGATACCCACATATGTTGCATTATACACATGTTGGGGAGTTTTCCAAAGCCTGTGTGGTTTATTCCTCGTCCGGTTCTAACAGCTTGTCTTGTGGTGTGGTGGGGACATCCTGGTTTCCTCTGGCAATGACCCACCGTGGACTTGGATTCTTACTAGCTCTGTGCCATGGGGCAGTTTATCTTCCTGCCTACAGATCCTTCTCGTGTTTGTCGCCAGCTCTGAGAAATGAATACAGCATGCATGGGAATGTAGTAAAGCTGTCCTAGACTTTAGATGGCAAGGCCTGCAGTTGATTGGGGTGAGTCAGGATGTCCTCATCTAAGACATGTGTGCACAGCCTCCAGGAGGGAGTCTTCCTGCAGACCAGGCTCAGGAGGTGATGTTGGTGTCACTTAGCTGGCAGGACACATAGAATTCCTTCCGTAGGGACTCCCTGGTGGCCGCTGGTATTCTGACTCAGGGTGGGCTCACGGGGGATCTGAGCTGGAGCGCCCTTACTAAGGAGCTCAGCCTCTTGGATGACACACTCAGTCGTTTTGAATCTGGCCTGTGCTGATTCAGCACAGATGTGGGGTCAAGCCACTGCTTAAGACACCTCAGCCTGGATTGCTCCACTAACCCAGGGCCAGATCTGGTACGGCTCCCCCTGCCCCTCCCCAGCATCACGCGCTCCTCCTCCCTGCAGCCCAGCAATGGCTCAGCAGTGGCTCCTGGCGGCCCCCCAGGTCACTGCTTCCTTCTGCCACCAGTCCCCTCTGAGGGGAGGCGCTGTCTCCCTTTCACCCACTCTTCTCCCACGTCTTCCCGCCCCCCAGCTCCGTCTCCCATCAGTGCCCGCCAAGAGGGCAGTGGGCAGAGCAGAGTGGTTGTTAGGGGCACAGACTTCGGATTCAGGCCGACCTGAGCTCTGATCCCAGCTCTGTCCTTAAGGGCCTTGCAGGGGATCTCATTTTTCTGAGCTTTAGTGTCCTAGCCTGTGAACCCGTAATAGAGGGTACGGCAGACTCAGTCCAGCCCCTGCACACAGTGGGTGCTTGGTAAGTGGCGGGACTGGGACCGTGTCATTGTCTTTGCTAATAGTATGAAAAGCCTCCTTGCCCATCTTCATTTTTCCTTGTCCAAAGCTGAATTCTTTTTGATTAAAAAATAAAATAAACACAGGGGCTCATTTGTCTGTCTGAAACACTAATTTGCCTATTTTGCATAAATTTGCATGCTGGATTATTTGGGCCTGACCTTCTAGTGTTTAAGGTAAAATTAATTAAGAGTCTCCTGCCACTGTATGTAAACCTCATATTAGGGGCAATGACATATCAAGTGCCTGATACATTGAAACTAATCGAGTTAATTCCATCTCAGATTAGACAGAAAACTCACCTGCAGACCTGCTCACTAGCCCTTAGAGAGAGAGGGAGAGAGCGAGCCAGAAAGAGCAGGTTTAGCAGGGTAGGTGCAAGCCAGGGCCCCCCCGGGACTGCTGACAGCTCCTTCCCATCCTGCCCTGGACCACAGAGGGACTCGCTCCTTCGGGCGGCTCAGGTTAGCGCCCAGCCCACTGAAGCACAGGAAGCCGTATCCCATGGCTCAGTATGGGCTAGCCTGTCAGTATCTGTTCGGAGCCTGGCACAGAGGGCCCTTCATTACTTGCCTTTGCATGCATTTATTGAGCATTAACTATATGTAAGGTCTCTTGTTAGGAGTTGGGGCTGATATAAAGAATTCGATTAATTTTTGCCCCAAGGATCTCATTTGGGAATAAGATAGATAATTTTTTTAAAAAAACAAAATACTTTTTCATGGAAAAGTCTAAACATACAAAAAGAGACCGAATGGTATCAGGAACCTCCGTGAACGCTGCGTCAGCGCTATCTCCCCACGGCCCGTCTCGCTTCACCTCTACCCTGTTTGCCATCTCCTGTCCTGCACACTTAGAATGCAGCAGGAAGAACCACGGGACAGGGTCCCCAGGCAGGAGGGACGCCAGGAGTGGCAGAGGCAGAGAGCGGAACCTGAGCCAGGCCTTCAGGACGATGGGCGATGGCCATCAGGAGGGCATCAGGGCGTCATGAACGCAAGTTTTCAGGCTGAGCCCAGAAGCTGACCTGTGCACACGGGCACTGAGCGACCAGCGTGGCCAGGAGGAAGGATCGTCTGAACACACACTCATTTCCCAGCAGCCCCGCTCCTTTGACTCCTGTTTTTGAGCACATAGGACACTGTCCCACGGGTGACTTCCGTGGGCAACTGGGGCTGATGGCGACTCAGAGTAGCGGCCGTTCGTTCGAGTCCGTCCGCAGTTGCCCTACGCCGCACGCAGGCTTTTACCTTGAGTGAATTTACCGAGTCCTGCGTTGCTCAGCGGACGAGCCCAAGTCTTTAGACTCCCCTGTCATGTTTCCCGTGAGCGACACGTGCGCCCCAGAGGCAGCAGCCTTTAAGAGGCAGTGGGTATCCCTTGAAGAACTGCACCCTCCAGACGTTACTAGCCGGTCATCCCGCCACCCCAGGCGGCCCGGAGGCTGCCCCAGCCCAGGCCCTCTCCTGCCGGCCCTGCCTGGCCCAGGCTGACAGGTGCACAGCTCTGCTGGGGAGCCCCCAGGCGCCTCCCACGGAGGGTTCCTCAGCAGCCCCGCTCCCAGGTAGCCGCCGTCTGGCCCCCGCTGGGGGGAGAACGCCAACGGCCAGTGAAATATGAGCTGCCGAGTGACAGCAGCTGCGTCTGGAGTGGCCTCAGATCCTATAATTACATCTCCCTTTATTACCGCTGCTAATGGCCCTCCAGGTCGGCAGAAACGATAATAAATTAACAGATTATGAACTCCACTTGCCACAAATTATGTGCTCTTTTTTTTTTTTTTTTTCTTTCTTAAATTCTAGGAGCTCATGCTCTCAGATTACTGGGGGATGGGGGCTTGGGACGAGCCTGAATGTTATCAGATCAGTTGGTGCAGATAAAGCAGCTTTGGGGGGGAGGGCAGCAGAGCTCCAAGTGGGAGACCTGGGGAGATGGGCAGGGGCAGCCAGCTTGGGCAGTGCAGGACCTCAAGGGGGCAGTGCGAGATGCCCAGGGGCCTGGGCCACACCGGCCTCTCTCAGCAGCAAGCCCTGGCCCAGAATTGCTGGATGCTTGATGGAGGAGGAGACCCAGCCCAGCAGAGAAGAGCAGAAGTGGAGGGTGCTTGGCTGAAGGGCAGGGAGGAGTGCTTCAGCCCTTCGTTTGGGTTTAAATAAAAGAATATGTGCTTCTAGTAAAGCTGTCAGATGTGACAGAGGGATGGATATTATTTCTTAAACATCCTTCTGGGAATTTCCTGTGCGTGTATAGCCACCGTGTGTGTGTGTGTGTGTGTGTGTGCACGTGCACACATGTGTGTTCTCCCCCCACCATAGGACCGTTCTTTGACACTGCTTTACATCTGCTCCTTTCATTTAATTATATAACATCTAATTATGTTATATAAAAATGCCCTGGTGCTAGGCACTGTACTAAGTATTCCACACATTAGCTCATTTCATCCCCATAGTCCCACGAGGAAAGTATTGTTGTTGCTACTCCCATTTTACAGACGAAGAAACTGAGTCACACAGAAATGGACATACCCAGGGTCACAGCCAGTGGCCAGCAGAGCTAGGATTCCAACAGACAGTCTGGCTCTGGTGTCTGTGCCCTTAATAGTTACGTCTTCCTACGCTCTTGGGTATCTTCCCACACCCACAAAAACAGTTCTACCTCATTCTTTCTGGTGGCTTCTAATGTGCCATTCACTTAGCTAATAATTACATTTATATAGTAATTACATGTATCACATTAGTTACATTTAGGTTGTTTCCTGGTTGGGGTCATTACAGACTCATCTAACAAACACCCTTTCCCATTTATCTCTGTGTTTACAGGACAAATTCCTAGCGGTGGACTTGATAGGTTGAAGGGAGCAAGCCTTTTGTTTTATGCTTGATTTAGTCTTATTTTGGGAACATCTTAAGTATGGACAGGTTCAAAAGCCAAAACTAGATAAAAATGTGCCCACAAAACCCTCCCCTCCATCCCTCCCCCTGCCCCTCCATCACCTCCCCTCCTTTCTCCTAGAGCTGTTACTTTTCATTTTCCCTTCTAGTGCTTCTTTTTTCAGGTACTAGAAAGTCTTTGGGCTCTTTCAAATATGAGACCATAGCGCATATTTCTCCCCTGCCTTGCACAAAGTGAAGCAGCCTGTGTATAGTGTTCAGCACTTTGGAGAGGACATTTGGATTTGCAAAGCGCCTTCCAGCTCCTTTTGAAGGAGGAGGAGAGAAGTCAGGGCTGGGTCCACCAGCAGAGGAGGTCTAACCTTGGAGGGAGCCACAGACTCTCAGAGGTGCCGTTTCCCTTCCTCCCACCACCTGCTCTGCGCTTCCCCCAGAGGGCAGGCCTGTTTCTGGCTTGTACACGAGGGGCAGAGGCGGTGAAATCTGAGCTTGTGTCTAAAGGATGGAGAGGGTCTCACTGAGTTCTTTATGGGTTCATTTTCTTGTCACCCAGGAGTCAGGGCCCAGTGACATTTGTTCATTCTACTCTGCTAGGAATATGCACTGGGCATCTTCTTTGTCCCAGGCCGGGCACTGGGCAGCGGGGGCAGGAAGATGGGCAGCACAGGGCAGCCTATCTCAGCAACCCCCCCCCCACAGTGTGCTCACCGGCAGCACCCTTAACACCCCCTTGGGAGCTCCTCACCCTCCGGGGCTCAGCCTCCCGCACTTCCCCGCTTGGGGCACGTTCGCCCATGGTGTGTTCTCAGAGCCCCTCCATCTCTCTGGCCCTCCGAACTGTCCTAACCATGAGATCACAGCAGAGCTCGGGGCTCACGGCGTGCCTTTGCCTCTTGACTGCGAGCTTTTGCACACGGGGGCCAGTTCTGGGTCGAGCTCGCCGTTGTGTCCACAGTGCCTGGCGCTTAGCGGGTGCCCAGTGAGGATTTGCGGAACGAATGAAGAGACAGAAGCACGCTGTTGACTCTAGGGATGGTACCTGTGTGATGGGCCTCACGGGGGTCTTTCCTCCTTCCTTTCCAGAAGCCCCCCTCCTCCCTCCCCTCCCTTTTTGCCACCTTCCGATTCAATTGTCTGTCAATTTCGCCCCATCCGCCTCCGACATCTTCCCTCCCGGTCTGTCTGCTTCCAGTGCAGCCCCCCACATCCCCGTGGGCACACACCCTCATGAGCCGGCTGATTGGGATCTGTTAATTAATGTCGCCCAAGGCCTCTCCCGCTCAGAGGCCCGATAAGGGAAATTGGATGTCCATTCTATCTGCCTTTTACTACCTCCCAGCTGTCCCTGCCACCACAGGCTGCAACACACCCCCTTGCGTGCCGGGATCTAGACAACACGCACGCACCTGGCCCCCTGGTGCCACAGCCTCTCCCCAAGGAGGCACGTCGGTCCAGGCCCGCCCCTGTCTGTCCGTGTCATTGCCCAGCTGTTTGTCAGTCACCCGCGGATGCTGGCAGCCAGGTGATGAGCCAAGGCCAGGGGTGTACAGATCGCACTCAGGAACCATGATGACTGGACTGAGAGGCTGCTCCCCAGCAGAGGGAGACCCGCCTGGTTGAAGGGGCTTCCACCTTGGAGTGCCCCCTGAAGTTGAACACTCGTGTGCTGGTTGGAAGGGGAACAGTGGGGTTTAAACTCAGGGGACAGCAGGGGAGAGTAGGACAGACTCCATGGAAACCCAGAGCGATGGGCCTGTCCAGGAGCTCAGGACCACCCCAGGCCTCCAGCCATGCCCAGAAGGGAGAGGAGAGTCATGCCGACAGCATGCTAAGAACAGAAACAGTAATAATAACGACCATCTCAGGCATCACCCTTGCTCAGGCTCGCTGGGTGCCGACGGTGTGGGGAGTGGAGCTGGGTGCTGTCCGTGCACCACCTTCTTACCCTCGAAGCCCCCATATCTGCGCTGTGCCCACACAGGGTGAGGTGCCAGGTCAGCAAGTGAAGTAGAGGCCCACCCACATAGGCAAACTCACCCCCAGAAATCCCCTCCTTCTAGTTGCCCGTGACGCGTGGTGCAAAGGGCTTTGTGGATGCTCATTCTTTCCTTCAGTCTGGCATATGGTTAGTGCGGCGGCCAATCGCTGAGTTTCTGGCTGAAGTTACCACCTTGTGTCTAGTGACTGAGATGTTTGAAAATCAACTTCCCCCTCCCGCTCCTCTTCTTCCTCCTCCTCCTCCCTCGCCTCCTTTTTCTCTACCCTCCCTCTCAAATCAAGACGTTAATTGTTCGTGCCTAAGTCAAGTGCAGGTATAATGCAATTCCAGATACTATTCTCATTTCGTAGATGAAGACTTTTCATCTCATCATCAGTAACAATTGTACGAGCTCAGGGAACACAGTGTATATTCCACAATCATTGTCTCATTTCGACCGCAACGCGAGTCTGAAGCGGGTGCTACGGTTCTGCCCATTTCATAGAAGAGGACACTGAGGTTTGGGGCAGTTAACACAGCTTTCACATGGTCAGCCTACAGCTAGGAAAGGGGAAGTCAGGATTCAGGCCCAGGCAATCTCCCGAGCACGTTGGACAAGACGGTGACATAATTCTGGAGCCATCCCCCTTGCTGACCTCCTTTCACTCTGGAGTAAGCATCCTTGCTAGCAAGGAAGGGGAAACTCCCATGATTCTAAGCTCACAGAGTGCAGGACAGCTTGGGTCAGTGTTAGGTGGAAAGTGATGGCCAGGGCAGCAGGGGTCTGACCCCAGGAGGACAGGCTGCCTGTGAGAAAGTGCCCTCTGACCCTGTAGGCTCTTGAGCTCTTAGCCCCAGGCTGCGGTCACTGGCGGGGTGGGGGGTCATCACTGGCTGGGAACAGCTGAGTCCTTCCTGGTTGGGCCGTTGGGTCAACACACACAGCTGAGACTCTGCACTGAGGATCAGGTGTCACTTTAAAACACCAAAACCTCCCCTGGTTGAGCAGAGAGAGGAATCTGGAAAGTCCCCTGGGGGGAGAGGACCCTGTACTGCCACCTTTCGATTCTACTGTGAATTTAATAACTCCTTAAATTACAGATGCATTTAATTAATCAAAAAACTTCTACAGACATTCGAAAAAGAGCATAGAACTAACAGTAATAGTGATAACAACTGTCAACATTGACTGAGCTCTTGTTGTGTAAGTCTTTCCCATGAATTCCCTGTCTGACTCATTGACCAAGCGAAGGACAAGGAGCCCAGCCGGTACAGAGGGAGGGGCAGGATCCAGAGGTGCTCAGGACCACCTCCTCCAGCCAGCCCACCTGATTGCTGCTGCCCTCCTTGCCTCTTCTTCCCACAGGCTTCTCGAACCTCTCTCTCGGGGACCAGATGAGCCTGCTGCAGAGTGCCTGGATGGAGATCCTCATCCTGGGCATCGTGTACCGCTCACTGCCCTATGATGACAAGTTGGTGTATGCCGAGGACTACATCATGGACGAGGAGCACTCCCGCCTCGCGGGGCTGTTGGAGCTCTACAGGGCCATCCTGCAGCTGGTGCGCAGGTACAAGAAGCTCAAGGTGGAGAAGGAGGAGTTTGTGACGCTCAAGGCCCTGGCTCTGGCCAACTCAGGTAAAGGCGGGTGTGGGACCCACAGAGGGAGCTTCGAGAGGTCTCGTTGGGCCCAGGGAGCACAGCTCTGGGGACTGTGAGCAGGGCCACCATGAAGGGGGGATGGCATGAAGATGCCGGAGCTTCTAGTCACCAAAGACGGCAGGGGTTGGCGTGGAGCTGAGAGGGTGGTGATGAAGGCCAGCAATAGGCAGCTGCCCTGGATTTGCAGGGCACTAGACTCGGCTTCTAATGTCTAGCCCGACACACTGGTTAAGGACACAGATTCTATAGCCAAGTTGCTAAGAGTCAAATCCTGCTTCGACCACTTGGGCAAGTCACTTCCCTCTGTGCCTCATTTTCCTCATCAATAGAATGGGAACAATGAAGAGTCCCTACCCCACCAGACTATGGAAGGGATTTGTTTATATATGATTATATTATACTCAGCAACATGCCCGGTGCATAGTAAGTGTTCAACCTGTTAAATAAATTAGCTATGAACTTACTTAATTCTTACACACAATCCTATGAGCAAGGTTCTCATGATTTTAACCCCATTTTACAGATGTGGGAATTGAGGCCTGGGGAGGTGAAGAAAATTGCCCAGGGTGACACTGTTAAGGGGTGTCAGAGCTAGGACTCGAACCAAAGTCCTCTGATTACAAAATCAACCCCCAGCTTATGACTCTCCTTGAATCTCCCAATCAAATTGCTCAGGTACAAGAGAGAAAAACCTGCCCAACTGAGTTGTCTGGACTGTCATTAAAAAGGAGGCTTCAGGGGGCGCCTGGGTGGTTCAGTCGGTTAAGCGTCCGACTCTTGATTTCAGCTCAGGTCATGATCTCAGGGTCCCCGCGTCTGGCTGTGTCCTCAGTGGGAAGTCTGCTCGAGGATATTCTCTCCTCCCTCTTCTCCTGCCCCTGCTCTCTAGCTCTCCTCTCTCTAAAGTAAATAAATAAATCTTAAAAAAAATTTCTTTAATTAAAAAAATAAAAAGGTTTCACTCCATTCCTTCAGCCCCTTCCAGCTTCTGGTTGGAATCTCTGGGGAGAGGGGCTGGGCATTGGCGATGCAGGTGAGCGAGCTGAAATGTATTCTGTCTCCACAGTTAGGGAGCGTCCCCACTGTGCCAAGTTGGCGGGGGGTGGAGAACGCAGGAGAAAGTCAGGCTCCCTGTCCTAAAGAGAGAGTGTCAGGCCATTTTGCTATAGGGCAGTGTCTGCTCAAGTCTGGGTCAGAGGGACCCAGGTTCAAATTACAGCTCTGACACTTAGTAGCCGTGTGATGTTGGACAAGTTGGCAACCTTCCTTAGCCCTGTCCTTGGGTATGAAGTGGGGACATCCCGGTACCTCCTCCAAGCACTTTGCTATTAAATGATCGACTGAAGATAAAGCACTTAGCCCAGTGCCTGGCCTAGAGGAAATGTTCAATAAATATTAATTATCATCATTACTATTAATATTAGAGGAAACAAAGTGTTATCAGCACAGGGAAGAGGGAGAGCTAGTTCCCAGGTGGAGACAGTACAAATAGGGCAGCCGGTTTGCTTGATACTATCATGCTTTCAGTGAAAGTCCTGTGTCCCGGGAAACCTCCGTCCCTGGCAAACCCAGACAGTTGGTCCCCCTAACAAATAGCTTCATAGAGAATGCAGGGGATGCTGCAGATACCCTGCTCAGCCCCCCTTTACTGGGTTAGTGCTCTCATGCCCCAGCTGCTGAGTTTTGCTGCTAAGAGCTCCTAGCTGCCCCCTTCACCAAGACCTCCCCTCACCTGCCTTGCCTGGAGAGTTGAGTACAGTGGCATCTTCAGCCAGTGGTGACCCACACAGGGGAACAAAGGCTGGCTCCTGGCAGGGTGGGATCAGAGCTTTGCATGGATCAGGCCAAAGCCAAGGCCATGTCCTCACCTTGCTTGCTCCCACCCTCACCGTATCCTGCCTCCCTCCCTCCCTCTCTCCTGAAAGCACATCCTCCAGAAGTCCCGTGCACCTGAACCCTGGTTTTGGGCTTTGCTTTTGGAGAACCTGATCTAATCCAGAGAGGCAAGCCTTTTTTTTTTTTTTTTAGTTTAATTCCCTTTTATTAATAAACAAATGCAAAATAATAATGAAAATTTTTACAGGCTTCAATACAGACCATTTACATTTTAAGATTCCAAAATGGTAGTGTATTCTTTGTGAGAGAATGCTAATCCTGTTTGGTTTTTTTAAAAGTGGTTTTAAATTTACAGAATAATGGAGCAACTGGAGCGACAGTTCTATGCCCCCATCCCACCCACATCTACCACTTGCATCCACCTCCTCCCTGTAGTTTCCCCCATTGTTCATATCTTGTATTGGTATGGTAATTTGTTACAATTAATGAGCCAATATTGATACATTATTACAAACAAAAGTCCCTAGTTGCCATTAGGGTTTACTCCTTGTGTTGGTGTGGGTCTGTGGATTTGACAAATGGGTAGTGACAGAATTCCCCATCACCTCCCCTACAGAGCAGTCTCACCCCTCGTGAGCCTGTGCTCACCGACTCTGAGGGAAGCACCGGGACCAGCCCTGCAGAGGGGCTGGGAGTTGGCGTGGGCGGAGGGAACACGGTGGCAGCAGAGGACACGGAGTGGGAACGGCGAGACCAGCATGGCTGCCAGGCCTTGGAGGGCACGTCCTTGATTTTAAGCTCTCCTGACCGTTTCTCACCTGACGTAGAGCTCGAGCTGGCCCATGCTGGGGGAGGAGAGTGAGGAGGTGGGAGGCCGCTCAGCGGTCACCTCCTCCCCACTGCTGCACATCAGGCTGTGCCGGCTTTCAGATGGCTTTTTAGGTTAGCTGGCTGCTCTTGCTCTGATCTCTGATCTCACACGTACACACACACACACATGCACACAGACACATGCATGTGCTCACACGTACACATGCATGCACACATACACACGTGCACGTGCCCACACATACCCACAAAGACATGGATGCACACATACAGACACATGTGCACATGCTCACACATATATTTATGCAAAGACACGTGCACATGCTCACACATACACGAAGACGTGTGCACATGCTCACACAGACATGCACACATAGACATATGCACATGCTCACGATGTGCGTACACACAGACACATGGGCACGTGCTCACATGTATACACACAAAGACATGCATGCACACATACAGACATGTGCACATGCTCACACATACATGCATGCACACATACACGCACACACGCTCACACATGCATGCACACAGACATGTGCACAGGCTCACACATACACAGATGCATGCACACATACACATGTGCACACGCCCACACATGCATGCACACAGACACGTGCACAGGCTTACACATACACAGACATGCATGCACACATACACGCTCACACAGACACATTGACATGCGTGCACACAGATATGTGCACACACAGACATGCATGCAGATAAACATGCATGCTCACAAGTATAGACACATACACATACTTGCACACATACACACATGCACGCATACGCACATATTCACAAATACACACATGCCTATGCACACTCATGCACACATACACACGTGCAGATATGTACACACACGTACGCACACATGCACACACGCACACACAGCACCTGACGACTGGCCGTGGTTTAGTAACACGAGCCCACTGGCAGCCTCACTAGCATCAGGCGTGGCCTGAGTACGCAGTCATACGAGATGAAACGCCACGAGTCTGCCCCTCTTGCCCCCGCGGCATCTCCCAGGCCATCCTGCAGCTGTGCGCAGGTACGAGTAGTTCCCAAAGAGGCGGGGTTTGTGCCGCACAGGCCCCAGCTGCGGGTGGAGCGATCACCTCGGGCAGGAAGTCGGAAAGAATAGGCCTATTGCAGGTAAGGCCAGAAAAGCGGGTTGGGGTCAGACCAGAGGCTCTAGGGCTGTGAAGGTATTGGCTTGTAATCGGGTTCGTCCAGGGGGCCGCGAAAGGAGGTGCAGCAAGATAGGAAAGTCACCCAGTCAGACAGAGTTAGCGGGAGGAGAGACAGGTGCCTGGAGATCATTGATGTGGGCCCGGTGGCCGCCCCCAGGGCCACCGTGGGTGCCACTGCTGAGCTTGAGCACATGGGACGGGACCATTCCGGTGGCTCCAGGGGCTGACGCGAAGCAGAAGCATGAAGCACGTCAGAGACAGGCTGGGTCCCCAAACCCCAGCCCCTCAGGAGCCTGCTGGCCGTCTTTCACCCCAAGTCCCAGCCATCTCCAAGGCTCCCTGACAGCAGAAAAATTCATAGCCATTGATTTTGTAATTAACAGTTTATCAATGCCATTGATACAGACTCGCTGATGGATTGCAAAGAAATTAATCTTGCAATGTTATTTTATTTCATTTTTGGTCGAAGGCAGCTGCCAATTTTGGCCTCCTTGGGGAGGGCGGGGGGAGGGAGTTCGGATGGCCACGTCCCAGCATTAGAGGGACCCACATCTTGGGTACACATTCTGGAACCAGCTGAGAGTGTAGGAATGGAGCCACGCTCCATCTCCTAGTGGCAAAGGAGTCCTCGCTGCTTTGGTAACAAGGGGCAGAACAGTGGAGGCGTCTTGGGTAGGGGGCCAGTGCACCCCAGCACGCTAAAGCCACTTGCCCCAGGCTAGGTCCTCACAGTGACGATAATGCTGCATTTATCAGGTGCTTACTAAGTGCCTGGTAATGTGCTGTTTCTTTTAATCAATCCTCACCACTACCCTATGAGGCATGGAGACATTTGCTCCGTTGCAGAGATGAGGACACAGTCTCAGAGAGCCTAAGTAACTTGGCCAAAATAACACAGCATCTTAAGACTCCAGAGTCTTACCTTCCTCATTCCGCTTTTCTCCCAAGAGGAAGAGGCAGGACCTTGGAGGCATGGGCTGAGTGTGGCTGCAGAAGGTCAGGAGTCACTGGGGTCGGCCAGTTAGAACAGCGACCCTTGGCGGTTTGTGCCTAAGCTAACCCGGCACGCAAAGGCATTGCCCTGCTCTTTTGAGGAACTCGGCAGCCTCGCCCCGCCTTCCTTGGCAGTCTGCCCAGAGCTTCCAGCTCACTGGACCCATACGGCACCCTTGCCTTCCCGCCTTTGGCAGGCGGGCATTGGGCGCTGCAGTGCAGGGTGGTGGCTCGAGCTCTTTAAGGAATGTCAGGAGAAGGCGGGTTGTTTTCCCTGAGCCCCCGGATTGGGTGCCAGGAAACGGCCTTGGCTTCAGCTCAGCCCCCGCTGTAAGCCAGCTGTCAGCAGGTGCCCGCCTGTCCTGCTGGATTTAGGTAACTTCCATTTGAACCCCTAATTCATGCCTGAGTCCGAAGCCCTCCTCGGGATTTTTAGAGGACTCCCAACAGCACCCGCCATCGCTGTGGCCCATGCGTCCAGCCATGCTGTCTCAGGCCCCCACCAGGCCCCCCGCCACAGGGCACCTGGGCACAGAGCTCAGCCCCTTTGTGTTTGCATTCTGTGTAAGCATTCTGTCAGGTCAGTGATGGCCCCGGAGACGAGCTGGTGCCTGGTGGCAGCAACAGTAGTCCAGTGACGATGCCACCAGCCGGGCACTCCCTTTGGGACAAGTACTGTTTCAGTCCTTGACCTGTACTAACTCATTTAACCTCTTGAGGTAGGTGTGGCCAGTATCTCATTTACCAAATGAGAAAAATAAGGCACAGAGAAGTTAAATAACTTGCCTAAAGTCACACAGCTGGCAAGTGAGGGACACAGGACCCCAACTCCACTGTCCACCTGGCACCTCCAGGGCAGGGACTGCGGTCTGCTGCCGGTCGAGTCCTTCAGGGTCTCCGCTGCTGCCTCCCGGTGGTTTCCCGGGAGATGACCTTCCGACATCCAGATGGCTCCCCGGCTCCAAGCCTCAGCTCTGTCACGGGCCTCTGTGACCTCAGGCTGGCAGCTTAGCCTCTGCGAGCCTCCGTCCCCTTCTCTGTAAAGTGAGGGTGTGGGGGGCAACAGCGCGGGGGCCCCCACCCCCCGTGCCGGGGGCGGCCGGCTGCGCGCGCTAACGCTCCCCCTGTGCCCGCAGATTCCATGTACATCGAGGATCTGGAGGCGGTGCAGAAGCTGCAGGACCTGCTGCACGAGGCGCTGCAGGACTACGAGCTGAGCCAGCGCCACGAGGAGCCCCGGCGGACGGGCAAGCTGCTGCTGACGCTGCCCCTGCTGCGACAGACGGCCGCGAAGGCCGTGCAGCACTTCTACAGCGTCAAACTGCAGGGCAAGGTGCCCATGCACAAACTCTTCCTGGAGATGCTGGAGGCCAAGGTCTGATGGCCCGGCACCCGGACCGACTCCCGCCCGCGGACACACCGGCCGACTGACCGCCGCGGACACGTCTGCGGCCACCAGCCTCGCCCTTCAAGCCCTGTATCATGGCCACGAGCAGCCCCAGAGGAAGGGCGCGCTCGCCTCCGGGCTGTGGCCGAGTTCCGAGTGCAGCGGGGCAGGGGAACAGGGAGGGGAGGGCAGGGCGTGGGCTCATCTGTAACCGGCTTTTTCTTTGGTATGTTTTTTCCTTCTCCGTGGGCAGTGCTGAGGTCTGGGCCAGGGCTGACTCCCTTGAGACTGGAGACCATCGAGGAAGCGGCCCCTCCCTCCCTCCAAACCCCCAAGAGACGGCAGTGCATATCCTAGCCCC